TATAAAGTAAATAATTTATTTGTAAATTTATATAGCAATCAATCATTCCTATACAATAATAATAATAATAATTAATAATTAATAAATAATTTATAACAGAAAAAAAAAGATTTGTTAAAATAAAATGTACAAAATGAACAGTAAAAAAAAAATTTTTTTTTTATTTTAATTATGTTATATTTTTACTCTGTTAATATTATTATGTTACAGGTTATAACAAATTATAATATGCCTGCGCACGAACTAATAATTGTTATGAAAAGACAACAACAAGAAAAAAAAAAAACAAATAAATTGTACATACAATATGCATACATACATACAACTATTTCAAAAAATATGAACGGTATATAAACTATAGTAAACGTATACTATTAAAACTATTCAAGCTATATAGCTATATATATATAATATATTTTTATTTTACATAATATTAGATAATTTAATTTATTTTTTAAAAATATTGTTACAATTTTTAATTCATAAAATAAATAAAATAAATAAAATTTATTTTTATAATACAAAAATTTTAAATTGTCGATATTAGATTGATTATTACGATATTCTTCAATATAAATTTGATTGTGTTGAGTTTAAATATTGTATTCATTGAAATTCAGCTTCATGTTTACTTAAAATTTAATTCGGTATTTTAAAGAATTTAAAAGCGAATGCAATTAAACAATATAATTTTTTAAAATAAAAAAAAAAATAAATTTAAAATCTTAAAAAAATTGCATATTTTCAGGCGAAAATAATTTTTTTATTTTTATATAGTTCGGTATTTCAATTTAATTTAACACTATTTTCTCTTAATAATTTTAATTTTAAACCAAAAAATAGAGAAACTTAATAAATTAAGAATAAATGTAAATTTTAATAAAATAATAAAATAAATTATATAATATAAATATTTATATTGATGTGAAGGAAAAAGCAAAAAGCAAAAAAAAAAAAACAAAACCGAAAAAAAAAAACAAAAATTTTATATTAAATTTATATTATAGGTGAAAATTAAACATTTTGAATACTTGATAAAATTAAGGATAAATTGAAAAAAAAAAACAAAGCAAAACAAAAATTGTATTATGAATATTAATGAAAAATCATACAACATTATTTAATACAAAAATAATTAATAATAAATGGAAAGCATTGAAAAAAAAAGGAAAAAACAAAACATAATTTATTAAATATTTGCGTAAGTTTAAACAAAGAAAAGCAACTGATTAAAATATTTTAAAATAATTTATTATTATTATTACTATTATTACTAATAATAATAATAGTAAATTAAAATTTATAATAAAAATATTATTGAAAATTTTCAATAATAAGGGAATGGGGATTTGGGAATATTAATCATAACAAAAACAAAAAAATTTATATTACAAAAAAAAAACAAAGATTTTATTTTCCAGTTTTTTGTAAAAAAAAAAAATAATTTTATTAATACAAAATTAAAATTGAATTAAAAACTAAATTGTTTAATTGAAATGTAAAAAAATCATTTGTTATTTTCTTATATTTTATTTCAGTTTAAAATTATCATTATTATTATTATAATTAAAATAATATTAAATATACGGGTAAAAAAATCTAACTAATAAAAAAATATGAGAAAAGAAAATATTAATAAAAAAAAAAATTATGTATAAAATTCCAGATAATGTGTAAAAAAAAAAAAAAATTAATAAAACAAAAAAAAAAAAAATAACAGAAAATAAGAATGAAAAATTTATTGTAAATTATTAAAAAAGAAAAAAAAACACTGAAAAAAAAATTAAATAATTATTGAAAAAACAAAAAAAATACAAAAAATATATTATGAAAATAAATATATATGTATGTTTAATAAAAAAAAAAACAAAAATGTTTTAAAAATTTTTATTTAAATTAGATATTTTTTATTAGATTAGAACAGACACAAACTATATCCAAAATTAGGACAACCTAAAATTTACCTAATATTCACATTTCAAATTTATTTTTTCGGAATTTTCAAATTAATTTTGCTTTTGAGCCGTTTATGAAAATAAATGAACTATGAGCACAATGAGCAACAATAATTTCATTTATATTTTTTAGTCAAATTCAAAGAAATATTTTATAGCATCACCGATAAATTTGTGTCCGTGAAAAACATTTTTTATTCAGGTGGAAAACAAAAAATGTGATGTGTTCAGCACATAACCAATCGCAATATATATATTGCCTAATTTAGTGAAAGTATTACAGAAGATTATGAAAATTCATTTTGAATACTTGCTTTTAATTTTAAGGAAATTAGTAAGCCTTTATCTAGCATAAATGGAAAAGTGTATAATGAAAGAATTCCTTGAAATATGCACCAGTTAGTACCGGTAGCAATCAAAAATCAAAATATTTCAAGAAATTCCATTAATTCGTTCCGTAGTACCCGTAAATGGTAAAAAATTTAAAATCGGCCTCCAATTTCGTTTTCGAACTCTGATCTTTTCAAAAAAATTGTACAGATTCATTGTTTTAACAATTCGAATTTAAATATTTAATTTAAAAAAAATTGTTTGATTATTTCTCTTTATATACGCAAAATTGCAAAATTGTCCCAAAAATTAAATTTTTGTAATTAATACTTTAAAGCAATATAGAGAATAGTACATGAGCATTGCAATGAGAATGCCAATTATTTTTCAATTTAAGTGCCAAAAAACAGGATTAATATTTTTTTTTTTTGAAAAATTGTTGAAACTTAAAGAATAACTACTTCTAGTAAATTAAAGAAATGCCACTCCGTTAGTTTTTAGAACTATAAATATACCATTGTAATCGAATATAATCAACATTATATGATTAATTTTTGTTTAAATGAATAATTTTAAAATAGTAATTATTGCCTAAATATGCGATTTAATAATGCAATATTCAAATATCCCTATAATAATTGCAACATCTTTTGAATATTTTTAGTGTTACAAAAATTTTACAAAAATTTCTTGTTGAAAAATATTATTATTATAGACTACCAATGATAGCTGGCAGTTCTTTTTAAGGTAAGTAAACACATTTAAATAAAAATTTCAAAATTATCATTTCATAAATCAGACAAACAAAATATACAAGTAAATTTTTGTTCTCTAAAATTTAAAAGTCGTATCTTCAATTTGAGTATTTTATTAAACCTGAGATCGAAACTATATTATTAATATAAAATTAATGCAGAATTCAGATTATAAATGTTAATTATTGCTGAATTATTTTATTGATACGGTATTATTACAATTCCGAATATCAGGGATTACATACAAGAATAAGATTTGATTTTTGTTAGGGATTCTTTAATTGCAAAATAAATTAACACAAGTTTTGGTACTTTAAAGAAATTGTCATTGAAACAATGAAATGTATAAAATTAAAAATATGTCTTACATAATGTTTGAGTTAATAGCGAAAACAAAACCTTTAATACAATTACTTAACAAAACAAATCAACTTGTTATACTAAAAATAAGAAATACTAAAAATTAATTTATTTTTTTTGGAAAATTAACAGTTATTAAGTTATTAGGTTTTAATTTTTAGAACCACTTAATGTAAGAATTAATTATTAAACACCATATTATTACATGTACGTAGTATAGGAAAAGGTAAACATTAAATTGAATTACACAAACATAAAATTACTTAATAAAATATCAAGAAACAATGAAAAAAAAATGTTATTTTGATTGACATATTCTAATAGTAAAATAATTACTTAAAAAAAAATAAATTATATAAATAGAGTTAACATGCCAACTTTGGGATATTCATATAACAATTGAATTTTTTCCCGCAATTACAAAATGGAACTTGAAATTAGTTTCGCACAAATGAAATTATTTTAATTTCAATTGTAATGAAGAGTATACGAACACACCTACATTCTATTAAACTTATTTTGGAAAATATAATTTTGTATTATTTAGAAAGTATTGTCACTCATATGTCAGCACTTCTTAAATTTTGAATTCCGAAGTTTAAAAACTAATATTTTTAATTTTGCCGATAACAAATCATCCGCTATATATGGCATTGAGAATGAAACAAATATATAAGAATATACTCCAAATATCACACATAAAATGCAGCCATAAAAGCAACAAAATGTATTAATAAAAAAATTAAAGCTAATAACATACACGTATAATTCAAATAAAATTACGTTAAGTAAAAAAAAAAATTATTATGAAATATGCATGTAGGTGCGCAAAATAAAAGGCCAAAGGTAAATTAAACAAAGATTTTCCCCCCTATATTTCATATTGTTACGAACACATAATCATTATCATACTGTCAGTAATGTCTTATATCTATTTTGTCGTTTGAAATCCTTTGAATGTATTTTCCTGTCCCCCTCATATTATATTTAGTGTATTGCAATTGAAATTATTTTCATGTTAGGTGAATTAGCGTATGTAATAAGTTTTTCGTAAAACTAACATACGTAACATTAAAAAGCAATAATGATATACTTTACCTATTACACCCTCTTAAGGTGTTTTTCATTAAGTTTATAAAATTACATTATAGTTTTTCCTATTACAAATACAATTGAAAATTGAAAAGGAGTGAGGAAGCTTGCACTTTAATCTGATATAATTATTATTATTCATTCAATTTTATATTTATATAATATTTTAGTAGAAATTTAAGCGTCATTGGAATAACAACTATTTTAGAATTAAATCCGTAAAGAATTTTTTTTGTAATAATTTGCATATGTGAACATTAAGCGTTCATATTATAAGCATACAAACGTGCATACTTTGTATGAAGACTAAAATTTCATAATATTAATTTCTGGCTTTTAAAATACAAGCTAAAAATTTTTTAATCTCGAATTTCACAATATATAAGAAGAAATTTTTAAATAATTTTAAGAAATAAATACAGAAAAATTACTTTAATGTTGAATTATTAAATTAAATTTTTTAAATTATTTTTTTTTTGTTTCGGGAAATTTTATAATGCCACCGCATAAAAAATCATTATTAAGTATTAGATTACCTGCAATTAAAAAAAATTCAAAACCAAATCAACTAATGGGATGTGCATCATCACAAGCTGCTGAAATTAAAGCACAACAAAATTCAGAAACGGCACCAAGTGATGCCCCAAAAAATGATAATGATGGTGAAAATAAATCTGAAAAAGAAAATGTCAAAAATAGTGCAGATAATAAAGAAAGTTCGGAAACGAATAAATATCGTAAGTATACGCAAAACAATAATTCAATTGTTCTTCCGAGTTTATAAAGCATACACAAATTGGTACATGCCCAACACTGCCAATTATAACCGTTTACCGAGTAAAGGAATGGTTGCCGAAATTTATCTCGAAAAATTGCTTTAATATTTTTATACTTATACGTAAGAATGATATAAAAAATTAGTCAAGAGTACTTTCTTGAGGGGTTTTTAAAGCTTTGTGAGGCAGATTAGTCTAGTCTGTTATTCTTGAATAAATTTTCAGAAGCAGAACAGTTTAAAACAGAAATTTTTATGAATATGAATCTGCTAAAAAAAGAAACTTTTGTTTTAATTTCGGGAAGAGACAGTGGAGCTGATATGTCGCTCGTTAATAAAATTTATTAATAAATTATTCGTGAAAGTTATAGTCCAGAAAATTAATCTCTACTATAAACAAAATTGCTCATTTTTTTGAAATTCGAACTAAGTTCACAAAAAAATTATATTTTTCATAATTTTGAGCAATATTCTAGTTTGACCTTAATCATAGAATTTTCAAAACAAAAAATTTATAAAATTTTTTTTGTTTTTTTCTAGCTCCACCAGAAGCATTTGAAATTCCATTAAGTGATATAACTGATTTATCTATGGATGATCAAAATTCTAGTGAAAATATAATTAAAAAACATCCACCAAAACGATTACAACGGTTAGTTGAACAATCACAACAACAACAACAAGAACCAACAACAACAATTGAAGATTTAGAAGAAAAATTAGCAAAAGCTGAAATACGTCGTCAAAAATTTTTACAACAAAGAGTTGATAATGTAATATCATTAGCTCAACCAGCAACAGCAACAACAACACAACAACAACAACAATCATCAGCTACAACTATTACAATTGAAAAAAATGAAAAAAATTTAAATAATGATGTTGATGATGATGAAATGTTAACAGTAACAACAACTACAATAACTAATAATAAAAAAACAATTGATGATGATGATGATGATGATGAAAAAAATTTTAATGATAATCATAATGATAATAATATCAATTATACTAAAACCATAACATCTGATCATAATAAATTTGATATTAATGAAACAATTGAATCAAAAAATTTAAATAGTAACAACAGTAATAGTAAAAATCATAACAGTATAAATGACAGTAATAATATCAACAATAATGAAATAAATCATTCTAATTTAAAAAATTATACAAGAGCACCAACACCAGCAGCACCAACAATGAGATCAACAGCAGTGAAAAAAGTTAACATTAATGATAACATTGTTAATAATAAGGATGAAAAATATCGAAGTCCAGGTGATGGTGATGAAAGTAAAGAAAATTTACAAATTTAAATTTTAAAAACAAAAAAAAAAAATTTATATATTGATGGGGTGGGGATTCTTAAAAAGAGTAAGAGACAAAAGCAGAGAGGGAGAGAGAGAGACAGAGAAAGAGAAGCAAACAAAATCAGTAAAGAAAAAAAAAAGATTATTGATGGAAGTTGCTTTGCTATGATAAAGTGAATTTTTTAAAGTTGATAAAGAAAGAGAAAGAATGAAAAAAAAAGAGCGGTTATAAGGTGGATGAAAAAAAAAAAAAATAAAGAAAAATTGCGCAACGTAATTTTTCGGTTCTTCTTACATTTTTTTTTTCTTGTTATGCTTTTTTTTTTTGTTGTTTATCATTTTTTATGCTCTTTTTCCGAAGCAGAGTAGAACACAAAAGAAAAGTTGTTTTCTCTTTTCGTTTTTAAAGATTTTTTCAATTTTTTTTTTTTGCTTTTCGAAAAGTAATAATAAAAACAGTGAACGTGAACGGAATTTTTGACAAAAAAAAAAAGTAAATAAAAAAAAATAACAAATAAATTTTTTTTTCTTGATTTTTTCTTGTTTGCCTTTAAAGTTTTTTTTTTTTGTTTGTGTGTTTTATTTTTGTTTTTCATTTTAACTTAGTGCAAAGCATAAAAGGATATTGTTATGATTAGAAAGACCGTGAATATTGTGTAGATTTTTTTCTTTGTTTTGGTGTGTAAAAAGGATATAAATTATTTGTTTCATTTTCAACAAAAAAAAAATTACATTGTAAAAAAAAAATGTTGTGGTTTGTTTGTGTTTGCAAATAAGCAACGACAACGAACTGAAGATGAACACAAAAAAAAAAAAAAAAGGAAAAACAATATTGAAATAATTATGTTAAATATTAGAACGTTATTGTAATTGCCAATTTTATTTTGAATTTGTTGCATATGCTTTGATTTTTTGTTGTATCTTTAACTTTTGACGACTATTTTTTTTCTAATGGGTTTAATAGAATATTAAGAGAAATATAACATTGGTAATAGAAGTGCAACATGATGAAAATTTGCGATAATTTCGATTAAACTGCTTCAAAATGATGGTATTTTGGAGATGCTGTTTGTGCGAAACTTGAAAATTTCCTTTTAAAATTTTTATAGATTTTATAATTTTACATACAAAAAAAATATCATCAAAGTTGAAATTTTCAGAATTAAAAATTTTTTACAATTTTTGCCATATTTTCCAAAATTATATATGTATAAGATAAAAATTCTTCGTAAAACGCATGGTAATAGTACTTCTATGACAGATTAATTTTGATATTCTTCACTGCAATTAATTTTTTTATTAACCAACCTGGCACATTAATGCACATACGACTTACACAATCATATGTGATTGTGCATTTTTTTTAATTTTACTTTTTAGTGTATAATTTTGTTTTAATTGAAATCGTGATATTTTTCCTTCCCAAAATCAAATTTTTAATATAAATATGAAAAAAACAGACGGGCCACCATTTTAATTGCTTAGATGAAAATAAATCGCCATTTTGTTATTGTATAAAGCAATAAAGAAATTTTACCAAAAAAAAAAAAAAAATAAACTTAGCTCTGAGATCACATTTGAAATTCTCTGAAATTAAATAGCAAAGTACTGTTATTTATTTACCTTTACTGTTATTTTTTTTTTTTCTTTATTTTTTTTTTTTCGGTTACATTTTGTTGGTATTTTTTTTTTATACCCTCTTATTTTTGTTTTCCAATGATGTGTTTTTTTTTTATTCTTCTTTTCTTTCTCTTTCTTTTATATTTTAGATTTTAAAGGATAATAAAAAGGAATTTCACTTCTTTCTCTCAGTTCATATACATTTCGTACACGTATATATAATCTTATAGTATATATGGAAATCTTCACTTGAAAATAAAAAGTCGTATAATTTTTTAAAAGGTCATGGTATAAGCATTAAAATTACAAGTTCAAATGTATGTGTATGTAGTTATAAAATGTAAATAACTTGAAAATAATAATAAAAATAAAAAAAAAAAATAAGAAGATTTTTTTATAATTATGTATAGTACGTGTGTTACATATTCGATTCTTATATATTCTATAAATTCATAATATATGTATGTAATGTATGTGTGAGATTTGTATATCATATAACATTACTTACATTATTAAAATAATTCACTAAAGTTCATCTAAATATTGTAATTTAAAGAATAAAATAGAATTTCGCTTCAATATAATAAGAAAAAATAACAAAAAATTTTTTGTATATCTGGTGTGGTGTGTGTGTGTGCAAAAGTATGTCCTAATAAAATTACATATTAAATTTTTTTTTTTATGAGATCTTTTAAAATTCAATTTTATTATTTAATTTTTAATAAATAAAATATTTTATAATATAAAAAAATGCTATAGCACTAGACTAAATAAATCACATTTTTTCATTTAATATCAAAGCATATTTTTTTTAAAATTACATAATATGTATATGTATATATTATTTTTAAAAATTTAATACAAAATGTTAATATTATTTAAATAATAGCTATATCCAAATTTTGTGCAAATAAATAAATAAAATAATATGAAAATTGTATAATTGAAATGAAAAAAGTTTTTGGAAACTTCAATTCATAAAGAAACTTGAAATTTAACTGATTATATATCGTTAGAAGAAAATTTCGTAGTACAAGAAATAAAATCGGAAGTAGTTCTAATACACAAAAGTTTTAAAAAATTTCACATTTAAATTTTAGTTTGGAAATTGGAATTTCCTATATTGGAAATTTCTATGAAGGAAACCAAAAAAAAAAAAATCAATAAAATTTTTAAATTAATTATAATAGTGCTAGTAATTGAAGTTATTCTAGAGAACAATCAAATTATTTTAGAAAAACGAAAAATTTTAAAGAAAATTTACATTTTCGTTATCAAATTCTAAATGAAAACAACCGTATTGAATATTTGTGGTGTAAACAAAAGAAATTAGTCCCAAAGTAGAAAATCTTGCAAAATTATTTTATTTTAGAGCTGAACCTAAATTAAATTGATTACTAGTTACCGAAGAATGAAAAGGGCAACAAAGCCATCTCAAAAACACTCCAGTAGGTGCTGTGACGACATATCTGCAAGAGGAGTATGAATAGATAATATGTTCATAGTAAAAATCCAAACTAATAGTCTTAAGTCTGGATGACCCATTCTTTACAGCTCTTTTTATTTTTGTGTGCCCCGATCACATTAACTATAAGCTGTATAATCTAAACTTAAAATCATTTATTTAGAATGAGACTAAATTTCACCGCCCCCCCCCCCCTCTACCTCTTGAGGCAATTCGTATTTAAAATACATAGGGTTAATTTTAATTTTAATAAAATTGGTTTTTTTTTTTGTTTCAAAAATTCCTATATAGTGATTCATATACTACGAGTAATAAGGATAAAATTATTATTATTTTTTTTTTAAAATAAATAATAAATTTTTAGTTTTATTTTAGATATTTCTAGCTAAGGATAATTACATAATATGTTTACATTAATAATTTATATTTTTGTATTTTTATTATTATATTTTTATATGTATGTATTTTGTATATATAAAACAAATCGCAAAATGAATCCTTTTCAAAATAATTTTCATATTATTTTACGATTGTTATTTTTCCTTTTTTTGTCTCAGTGAGTTTCACTTAAACAATTTCCTTTCATTCTATATACCCTAAAATTCATTTTACTCAGTTTGTTTTTATTTTCAGTTCAATGTTTCTTTACTCCTATACAATACATACATATGTACATATTTTTGTACCCAATTAAACATTTTACGACTCCTTAATGTGTTCTAATAAATTTTTAAGTGCGGTTACTAAATATCCTTATGAGTTAAATAGCTGAAAATTAATTTATTTTTATTTTACATTAGGGCTAATTTCAAAAAAAATTTTTAGAATGTAAAATGAAACCCAAACTGAAAAAAAAAAATGAAAAAAAAAAATATGATTTTGTCCTTTTTTTTGATTTTTGTTTTTGTAACTAATTTTTTTTTTTCATTTTTCATCACATCTCATTCCATGTATTCCTGAAATACATCCCTGTTATTTTGATATATAAACTATTTATATAAAAAGAGACAAAAAATTTAATTGAAAATATTTTTAATAAGTGATGAAATTTTAAGGATTAACTTAATAAAAGGTGTAAAAAAAAAAACAAAACGTATCCCTTTTTAAAACTATTTTAAAATTCGTTGTAGGTTATCTTGTGGCACAGCAGTTGTAATATTTAAAATTTAAACCCCCCCCCCCCTAACCACTCTTCCCGCCTCACCCATTTCTTAAATTTGGAATCAATATTTCTTGTCATGTAATCTTAATTTTTGACTTGGAATAAAAATAAAATTTTACGGAAACTTGTGAAACAATAAAATTTTTCAATGTTAAGAAATTGAAATTTTTTTTTTCCTATTTTAATTTTCTCATTTTGTTTTTTGATTTTGTTTCTTTTTTTCATCATTTTAATAAAAAATTAAAGTTTGATTCTTCAAAAAATAGAAGGAAGAAACAAGAAAAATTTGATAGTGAAATAAATTTTTAAATGTTTCTGAAACTTTTTTAATTTATTAACAATATAAGTATGTATGTATGTGTATGTAAATGTAAATTACAAAATATGTACACGAAATACGAGTATATAAATTTTATATAGACCTTAAACTGAAAGGAAAATAGAAACTTTTATTTCATCTTTTTAAAAAAGAAAAAAAAAATCTTGTTTTTTTTTTTTTGATTCTTAGAACCCATAAAAAGAATAAAATTTTACTTCTTCACATCTGTTATCTGTTATGAAAACTTTTTAATGTTCTTTTTGTATTTTGTAAATTTATTTATTTTTTTTTTTGTTTTTGATTCTTTGGAAATATCCTTGTTAAATTATTTACATTCACCTTCATCACCGAAAAATTGAAAAAGAACATAAAGAAAAATAATAATAGATCAAAAAATATAATATAAAAAAAAAATATTCGAAGCCAACTAAAAGGTCTTTTAAATTTAAAAATTTTCTAAGATTTTTTATTTATTTACGATTATAGAAAGAGCTTCCGGAAAAGTATTTGTAGAATGAGGTGTAAAAATGCATTAAAGCCTTTATTATGATCGGCGCAGCGAATATGAAAAATTTTGGCGAATTCGCCTAAATTTTAGCTGAATGAGCTGTCAAATATGTTGTATGGAAATTCTGTGTGACAAGCTTGCAGAATGAAACCCGTAGGTTTTTTGATGTCTTTGATCTGGTGAATGAAAGCATTCGCCCA